ATCATCTTCGGAAGACAATGAGTGTTGGCCTGTTTTGTAAACAATTCTTTGTCTGGGACCATGCAGGGCGCACAGGAAATATAACAGGGCGCTGACAATTTAAACAGGGCGCCACTTTCAGATAACAGGGCGCGGCGCCCTGTAAAAACCCTTCGTGGAGAACCCTGACATATATTTTCAAAAACAAAGTGGCAGATATTTATTTGCTTCACACAGTGTTATAAACACTTATTTTTGGCACTTTTGAAATATTAATGAGCTCAGTCACAGTGCAAATATTTTTTTTTTGGGGTCAAAAAATTTCGTTTCACAACTTAGAAGAGTTTGAATATAAAAATGAAACATTATCGAAATTCAAATGCTACAGACTAAAAAGAAACAAATAAATTGTAAAAGGTTAAATGAAACTCATTTGAAACGTTTCAGCCAGGATTTTGTTCACGACTTTCATGATCTTATTTACTACAAAATTCTCCTTCAATAAATCGACCACGTAATTATTTGACGGATTGCTGGTTATTGTCATTCCGATCATCAGCTCCTACAACGTATACATTTACAGTAAATGAACGAACAAATAACACTTCCAAACGATCATCTAAGTTACGACGTGACATAACTTGCTTTGCGATGTTATACACCGGTTATACAGTACCATTAATTCTTCTTAATCATGATGCCATGAAAAAATCAAATACTTCTTTTTTTATATAAAAAAACGTAAAATTTGAACTAGTTCTATCGGGAGAAATTATTTTTGATCACTAGATCACTTCGGTGAAAAACACAGACCCGCCATTGATAGTTGTGATGCATTAGTTGACCGCATGTGTCCTTTGACCCGGTGGGTCAAAAACGCCATTAACCAATCAGAATGCTGCATGGTAATGCCAGTAGAACCCGAAGTTTCCCAAATGATCGTGATCATAAAAATTACATTGCGGAAGTAAAGCGATGTCGTAGCATGATGTATTGGTATGGATTTCAGATGAAAACTGCATGATGGTTTTTGAAAGGGGTGGTTAGCAAGTTTTAAAAGGTTAAAGAAGTCTTGAAAGAAGAGGTTTTACATGATTCACGATGATAACAGTTCAAATGTATTTTACCCAATCACGCAATAAACACTTTGTTTTTTCTTGAGTAGCGTAAAC